ACGCAGGACAAAAAACACGAGCGGAAACCGGCCCCGCCTCATCATCTTGCCCCTGCTGCCACTCCATTGATTTTAGAATATGTTAAGCTATTCGCGCGATTCGAACTTGTCTGGCTCCTCGCGCTGCGCACTGGTGACATGTTTGTCCTTCCCTTCGCGTTCCTCATTCTACGTTCGCGCTTATCGCGAACGTCTCGCTTTGCTGCGTTTCGTGATTGTAGCAATTTTCGAACGCACCTTCCCAACTTTAATGCTGACATGCTTTTCTACTGTTCAACACTTGTTCGCGCTTTTCCACTTGCCACATCTTTCCGCACTTTTCTTTGTTTCTAACATTTCCCGCTTTTCACACTTTTCGCACTCTTTTTCGTTCCTACACTTCGCGCTTTTTTGATTCTCGTACTTTTCGAACTGTTCGACTGACCTACTTTTCGCACTTTGTCTTACCTTTTTTCCGCTTTCTGCACTTTTCTACATGTCGCACTCTTCTACTTGTAGCACTTCTCGCGTCTTTGCCCGGATGTTCGAGACGCTTAGGTACGGGAGGTTCGCGTCGTGACGACCCTGGCGTTGGTTTCTGACACCGCGTGGATCGTTCAACCTTAAACGATCGGCCGTTCCCGCAACGTCCAATCGTTCAACATCGACCGATTCTGGGTCGCCGGCGGCGTTCAACGTTAAACGCCGCGGGCGGGGTCGCCGACGGTCGACACGACGCGAACCTGCCGTAGCCAGCTTAGCGCACCTGATCTACCGCATATCGAAACTCAGATGCTCCACGAAATTCCGCCGCCACCGCCCGCTGGCGGCTGTCCCGCCTGGCACCTGCGGTGATCCGTGCGCCTGCTACTGCCACGTCGCTCCTCCTCTCCTTCTGCTCCTCATCGTTTCGAATCCCTCCTCCTCCTCCTCCTCCTCCTCCTCCTCCTCCTCAAGGGCTCCCAACTTGGCGCTTCGCGCTGCGCGAATAGCTTCGCGCTCTCGCGCCGCCTCCTAGGGGACAAGAGGAGGATGAGGAGGAACCGGAGCCGAACCGCGAAGCGCGAAACGCGAACAACTTCGAGCCCTCGAGGGCGCCCTTGCTCCTCCTCCTCCTCCTCCTCCTCCTCCTTTCGGCGACTCCGCACGGTGTGGTTTACAAAGGTTGTTTTGCTTGCAATCCGCACCGTGGGGGGGAACGGGCGGCGGGCGAGGCCCTCGACAGAGTTCTCCGCCGCGACACCCGGGGGCGGCCCGACGAGGGTTCAGCGCGGTAACCCCAAAGCCCCAGCCGACGCAGCTCGCAGACCACGCCCCAGCGTAGCCACAGCCTCTGCTGTCGCCGATCAGGATTCTCTTCCTAATCCTCCTTCTCAATTCTTGATCCTTCTCCTCCTACTTTGCCACTATGCCTTAATCTTAAGGGGGACGAAGTGCAAAGAATGGTCAACCAATACTACAAACTAGCAGCAAAAATGCACCCAAAATAGTGCCCTGACTATTTTTGGACTATCTTTGAATATTCCTCCAGTAGAGGGACAGGCCCGACTTAACCTTAATCTCACGCCCCTTCTGCCTCTGGAGGCCTCCCGGGTGAGGTCCCAGAAAATGTGTCGGGGGATCGCGCCGCATCGCTAATGCATTGCGGATGCATCGGCAGTGCATCGCCGACGCCGGTGAAGCAACTCGGGCTCCACATCGAACCGCGTCGGCGATACATCGTCATTGCGGCGCGATCCTCCGATTCCATCTGCTCCTCCTCCTCCTCCTCCTCCTCTTCTGCCTCCTCCTCCTGTTCTTGGGGCCCGTGGAGGGCCCCAAGAACACGGGAACGTCGACACTCCTGCTCTTCAAATCATGGGCCCGGAAGCTGGAAAGATCGGGTCGGACGAAGGGGGGGGGGGGATCGCAAGGGGGGGAGATTCGCGAATCAGCTCACGTCCTGGCGCCTCCCGGCGAAGGAGGCGCCAGAGTATCGCGGACAGCGCCCAGCGGCAGGGCCGAATCCCCCCTTTCCCACTCCCACCCACTTTCGCCCGACCCGAAGCGCAGTGGGTAGGGCCAACGGGAGGATTGGACGCAAACCGCTCTGGACGACGCTTTTCTATTCGATCACCGCGAAGCTGGAGGTATCGTAGAGAATGTAGAACATAGAAATCCAAGACGGTTCTTGAAATTATGAATTTGGCACTCGGATGAAAATCCTCCCTGACAGATTTCACAAGTGGAAGTGTGACCCTAAGCAGCGGCACTGTGGGACAAGGAAAGGTCAGCCTCCAGCTGGGCCCGTTCCCTAACCCCCAGAACCCCTCCTTCACGAACCCCCGAACGGGGCGGGCGTCCAAGTCGGACGCTCGAGGAGCTGATGGGGGGCTTCGGGGCTCCTTGAGAGGCTTCTGGGCTTCCGGTGTCCCCTCTCGGGCGAGCAGCTGCCACTGCTCACAGTGCCACGTGCAGAGCAGCTGGCGGGAGGAGGGCGCGTGCAGCTTGTCAGCTTGCTGTGGTTCCGGCCGGGGCACGCCGAAGGGCGGGGCTCGCCGCTGAGGCGGCCACTGAGGGGAGGGGGGTTGGCGCGTCACGGCTCGAGGCATGTGCGTGGGCGAGAGGGGGCCAGGGGACGTGCTGAAAAACGGGGAGTGCCATTTGCGCAGGGACCGACCGTCCTGGCATTAATCTATGCCTGCCACGAAATTTTCTTTGATCCAAAACATGCTCGAATAACAAAGACAACGTTCTTAGAACATAAACCCGATGTGTTAGAACAAGACAGTTCAAGCCAGAAATGTTTTGATAATATTGTTTGGTAGGCCTACAGGCACGCCAGGACGCTTCGCCACTGTTTGAATGAACTTTGGGAGATCTGACTACACCGGCCATGTTGTTCATGCCCACGCACGCACACGCCCTGATAATCCTCACCCCCTTCTTCGACGTCCCCGCAAGGTGCAGCCCACACCACCAGTTGCCATTGGAAGCCTCTACGCCCAGCCCTGCCTGCACAGCGTGCATCTTCAGTTCGCATTCCTTCGGTCTCGCGCGTCCTCCGGCGCACCGCGGCACTGCCTGAGCCGGGGGGACAAGGGCAAGATCAATCATCATCGAATCGGGCTGCATCGGTACGGAGTCGAAGTCGAATCGGACCGGCTGCACCACGATGCACAACAACGCCATGCGAACATCGAGCTGCATCGGATCATTGAAATGCTGGGGTCGGATCGAAACAGCCCGAATGAATATCGAATAGGATCGATCGGATCAACATGGACCATGACGTGGCCGATCTCATTCGAAGGAGAGGCCCATCGAGTGGCTGGAGGAGAAGGTCAGTGGGGAGTGGGACAGGGAGCCACAACGCGACTGGCCGCTCTTCCCGCCCTCTCCACCGCGCACTGGTCATCCTTGCAGCACGCCGCACGACCAGCAGCTCGGCCCGTTTGCGTGCTGCTACCAACCAAGGGGGACTTCAGACTACATTCGCGCGCACACAGTGTTCTTTTCAGGACTCGTTGATTTTGTCTGCGATCGTGCTGACCGTCTCCTCTCCGAGCTTTCAGACCTGAACTTGCGCCCGCCCGCTGTAGACCTAGCGAGTCGGTACCTCCTGGCTAACCTGGTCCAAGCGTGCCAACTGACTCCCCGTGGGTACGTGGAACCCAAGGTCCGAGCAGTCGTAACCGCGTCCGTCTACCACGGATCCGTGCGTTCAGGCCATCGCCTTGGAATGTCATCTGAAGTATACTGGCCCTGCTTGCAATGCCACCGCAGGAGGGCAGCCAAGCTAGGTCTGTTGCAGGGTAGGCCAAGCCAAGTGTACTGCGCAGTTTCGTGAGGATGCTAGCGTAATCAGGGTCACAGCAACAGGCGCAGTCTTTTCTGCAAGCGTGCAGCGCACGCTGAATCGTCGCTCGGTCCGAGCGACAGCCAGATACTCATGAAGGCAGCGGTGGCACTATCGATAAAGATGCCTAACAATGCTAAATGGCAGATGGCACATGCCCGTCCGCAGGCTCTAGCCGCTTAAGGCTCCTGGAAGTCCCTAAAGAGCCCTCAGAAGCCAGTGGAGATCCCTGGAGGCTCATTGGAGATTTTTTGGAGGTCCCCGTAGTTAGTCTGTTGGGAATGTATGAAGGGCCCCTCCCTTCCTCAGCCCCCATGAGGCTCCTGGAGACCCCGCCCGACGAAAGCCCCAAAACATTCTCTGACATCCCCAAGATCTACGGGGTGGTGGATGAGATCCCGTGTGGTAGCCGCCTGTTCTGTTGATCATGTGCGCTGCAGGAGGACAGAACAATTTCGGAATAGTATCGGGTGCCCTGGTCCGAACCCAAAACTCGGCTACAGGGCTTCGTGGACCCAACAAGGGCTCCCGAAGCTCTTCAGGCCTCCCCGCAAAGCTCACCCAAGAGAGCTTCGCTGGGAAGTAAAACAAAATCAACGGCGCGCCGGCGTGGGGAATTCATCAGCGTGCTACTGCTGAATGCGCTGGCCCCCGATTGCCGGGGGTGACAAGGAGTGGGAGACATCTGGCTGTCCCCCTCCACCTTTCCCTCTCCCTTGGGGACAAAATCCAGTTTGGGGGGGAGGCGTGCACTCGTCCATGCGCCCCTGGGGCCTCCGGAGACTCCGGAGCCTCCCAAAAGTCCAACACGGCCCCAGAGAACCCAGACAGAGCGCCAAAACAGTCCAAGGGAGCGTCGAAACGGCCCCGGGTAGCCCCACGATGGTCCAAGATGGCTTCAAGACGGCCAACGGGGCCTCCCAAACGACCCCCACGAGGGCACCAAGAAACACGAATCGTCCAGCGCCCCAGGGAATCGTACATTTCACCACGTTCGCATTTTTTTTTGGGGGGGGGGGGTTCTTCCCCGGCGCAGCACCTGCAAAACCGATCGGCAACGCTACCTGTCGGCCTAACGCGCCCGGGTGCGATTGACAAACCTACTGACACGCTGCAGAATAATCAAGAAGCATGTACACTGCCTACGCAGGCAGTAATGAGTGCAATCTTGGTCAGGCTCGCGCTACATCAAGGCGCAGCAAGCATCTCTGTTCATCTGGGTCGCCCAAGCGTTGATAATCCGTTTGGCCTGAAAATCCGCCCCTTGCTTGAAGAACTGTCCGACCGCGTCCACGGGAGAGCGTGGAATGTCATCACCTTGAAATGACAAAGCTTTAAGCGTCGGAGTCAACTGCGTTTCATTCTTTGCAGTCACGTACTTCTTCTGACACTGCGCCATCCAACGATCTGCAGTCTTCTTGCACTCAGCGGCCGCAAAGGCCTCCAAGGCCGCGTACACGTCTTCAGTTGTCGTGGACGGTGACAACTTCAGCCCGAACTGGCTGGGAAGAAGACCACCTTGGCCGGAGGCAATATCCCACACCTTCAACTCTGCTCCCTCCTGCAGAGTTGGTGTGACAAAGGTGGTAAGCGGCGTGTCTGTGTCCGTCGCGAAGCGTTGATTCCGGGCGAAGAAAGAGGTAGCTGGCATATGCACTGAAGCAAAACTGGCTGGGCACAAGACAGCTTGGGCGAAAACGGCTTGAGCCCAAATGGCTACGGACACCACATTCGCAGTTTTGGCGTTGAATCCGTCCACAACGGCGTTAGGGGTCCCTCATATTGCTCCAAGGAGGGCATCAAAGACGGCCGAGGAGGGTCCCAAGACGGCCCAAGAAACGCCCGATGGGGGCCCCAACGGGGGGCCCGAGAGAGACGTCTCGAAGTGACAGCCCGAGCCCTCCGCCCCCAGGAGCCCCGAGGAGCACCCGAACGCGGCCCGAAGAGCCCCCGGGAGGTTGCCCGACGAGGCCCCGCAGGCCTCACCCGTGGACTTCCTTCGGCTAGGAGGGGGAGGAGGAGGAGGACGAGGAGGAGGGGGAGGAGGAGGACGAGGAGGAGGAGGAGGGGGAGGAGGACGAGGAGGAGGGGGAGGAGGAGGAGGAGGAGGAGGAGGAGGAGGAGGAGGAGGAGGAGGAGGAGCGTAGGAGTGACCCTGGGCAAGAGTGACCTCTGGTGTGCAGCGTTTGGGGGCGCGAGAGAGCCAAACCCAAGGGCGCGGGCCGCTTACATCGCATCGCGCTCGGCGATCGGAGGGAGCCCGATGAGCCCGCACCAAAGGTCACTCCGGCGAAAAGTCACTCTTACGTGTAGTCGCTTCCTTCCCTCCCCTAATTAGGGGGTCGGCGGAATGGGCTCAGTCCTCTCGAACCCGCCGGCCCCCGCCTGCCTGGGGGGGACAAGGCGTGCGAGACATCTGGCGGTCCAGCGAAGTGTCTCCCTGACGCGGACCCACGGGGATTTCGGAAATTGAGCATGTGTCGCCTACATGCGCCGAATTGCCTGGTTGTGAGGTCGCCTGCCTGGCTGTGAGGTGCCCTTCTGAGCAAACCCATGCTGGTTGTAAAATGCCCCATCCGGTTGTACAGTGGCCGTTCTGGTTGCAATGTGACGCGCACGCCCCCCGAAGGTCCCAAATCGCGTTTGCGTGGAAGGGGGGTCCCCGGGCTCCCACACTCACGGCATGGGGCCTCCAGAGCTTGCGACTCCACCTTTCGTGGCCGCCAGGATCCCAAGATGCTTTCTAAGATGGTCCCAGAGGGCCGTCCTCGGGCCCTTCTGGGCCGTCTTCGGGTGTTTTGGGCGTCTTGAGGCTCTCCTCTTGGGGCCCTTGTGAAGCTCTCTTGGGCTCTCTTGGGGCTTTCTTGGGCCGTCTTGGAGCCCTCTTGAACTATCCTGGAGCTCTTTCCGGCCTTCTTGGGGCTTCCTTGGAGCCCTCGTGGGCCGACTTTGGGCGACTTGTGGCGCCTCCTGAGGCGTCTTGGGTCGTCGGAAGCCCGAAAAGACGAGAACCCTAAAAACTAACAACGCCTGAAGATACTTCATGGTTTTGGCCTCCCAGAGCCGTCCTGCAGAGCCTCCTGAAGCACTCTCGAGGCGTCTTGGAAGCAATCTGGGCCGCTGCAGGCGCCGCGTGAGCCGCCTGAACCTTCTGGAGGCCGTTTTTGGATGACTCGAAGCCGCCGCGGATCGTCTTGACGGCCGTCTGAGCGCACTCGGCGTGGAGCTGGGGCTCCGCAAGTGTGCGCGGGGACCCCAGAACCCGATTCGTGGTCAGGGTGCCAACCCGGGGGCCCCGGGACCTGGTTCCCCGGCACACACGTAAACCGTCGATTCTTCTCCGAGTGAGTGCAGAGAATGTGAACTTTCCGCTGGGCTCGCTCCCGCTCCCCCAGGTAAGCCTCGTCTGCGCCCCCTGGCAGACGACGACGACGACGACGACGACCGATGCCGACGGCGTCGACGATCGACGTCGCCGTCGTCGACCTCTCGCTCGGCGCTGTCCTCACACACACAGCAGGGGGCCGGCGGCGCCACGCGCCACGCCACGAGGCGTCCCCGAGGCGAGGGCGCGACACAGGCGGCCCGGAGGCCGCCGCGGGCTGGCCGCCGCCTGCCAAAAGGCCGCCGGTGGCCACGGATGGCCGCCGCTGGATGCCGGCGATGGCCGCCGGGGGCCGCCGATTGGGCGTGGCTTCATGGGGGGGTCATAAACGGGGGGGTCAGAAAAGGTCCCCTTTCGTGCCCCTTTCGGGCCCCTCCAGAGCCCCAGGGGGCTCGTTTAGGTACCGTTTGGGTACCTTTTCGGACCACGCTCGCCACCCCCCCATTTATGACACCCCCATTACGCGACGCCCAAACGGATGGCCGCCGCCGGGTGCCGGCGATGGCCGCCGGGGGCCGCCGAAGGCCGACGGCCAATGCCGGCGATGGCCAGCGGGGAGCACCTGAGGGCCAAAGTGGCCGCCGAGGGTCTCCGATATGGCCGCCGCCGAGTGCTCGCGGAGGCCGCCCATTGCCGACGAAGGCCGGCAGAGGCCGCCCCAGTGCCCGTCCCGCCGCGGTCGGAGCCGAGGGCGGTGCCGCTGCAGCAAGGGCGCGAGGTCCGCGCTGGCGCGGGCGCGCGGGAAGGCCTCCTCTGGACGACGCCATCGGTCTTGGGATGGAGAAGCTTCATTTTGTCAGGCCACCATCTGTAAAAGGAGTTCTGACAGTCGAAACATGATCACAAGAACGCGGGTCAAGAACACGAGCCCCGTCTTCCAGGGCTCAAGGCCCCATGGATGGAGACACCCAAAACTAAGATCATTCCGAGGTGGAGGGTCCAAGCAACCAAAGAGCATATGGTTGTTCTCATCCTTCGAGGGAATTCCGTCCACGTCCTCATTACGTCGAAGGGAAACCCCTTCCCTTTGTCCCTTCCCTGGCGGGGGGGGGTCCCGCGGGGGGGGGTCAGATTCGCATCGCCTCTGGGGTCCTCCTCAACGGCGGTCCTTCTCTGGCGCGCCAGTCCTCCTCGGGTCCTCCTCCCCAGGTGGGGAGGAGTCCTCGGGGGGGGGCAAGGGAGGATAGATACGCATCCGTCCCTGGGGGTCCTCCTCCCCCTCCCCTCCCCTCTCCCACGCCTGTCCTCATCCAGTCCTCCACCGGTACCTCTCCTGGGACACCTTCTGGCCAGGATCCCGGTGGCGAATCTGGTCGTGGCGACGAGGAGCCCCAAAGATGTCCAAATGGGCGAACATGGTGGAAGAGGCGGGAGGTACAGTGGTACTCCAATGCAGTCAGGCAGCCTCCTGGCCCCCAGGCGGGAGGAGGAGCCAGAGGAGGGAGGAGGAAAGAGGTGGGAGAAGGAGGGGAGGAGGGGGGAGGATGATGGGGGGGGACGTGTGGGAGGGGGGGAGGAGGGGGGAGGGGAAGGAGGAGGAGAGGGGAAAAGAGGGGGGAGGGGGAGGAAGAGGGGGGGAGATTGGGGGGAGAAAAAGGAAGGGAAAAAGGTAGGTGGAGGAGGGCGGAGGAGCGACCGGCGGACGACCCCCTGTGACTGCAGCAGCATTAGAGGGTATCGGTATCTTTCCCCTGACGGTTGGCGCCGCCCAGCTCCTCGCAGCCGCAGGACGAGCATGCGGAACGGCAGACGAACATCGCCTGCCGGGATGGGGGGGCGGCGGGGGGGGGGGGGGGAAAGGCCAGAAAACAATGATCGACAACGCGCATGCGCGCTGAGGCTATCACTCAGGCTGTTACTCCCGAGGTGCTCGATTGTGCACGCAAGTCTGGGTGTGCATGGCCTTTTTTTCACGTAGACTGAACGGCTCGCTTGAATCTCCGAGAGGATCTCGAATCCAGGTCAGATCGGATCCACGCCGCCTGACACTCGGGGGATGCCAGATGTTCTCCTCGCCCACGGTGCCGCCAGGATTGCCAAGGGGGCACCCGGTGCCCCCGGAGCAACCATCACGAGACCCAAAGGGCCCAGGGGGCTCGAGCATGGAGCAAACGGCTGGGGACACCTTAGGCCGCCTTCGGCGTCCCCTGGTAGTAGGAGGAGGCGAACGAGGAGGCGGGGAGCCGTGCACGCAACACAGGCATAAGTGGGGTGCTGCTGCGAGCGGCAACGTTCTCTTCAGCGGCGCCCTTCTAAGTGTCCTCGGGAAGGATGGGGCGGAGGAGGGAAGCGGTGGACGCGGAGGAGGAGGAGGCGGATGAGGAGGGGGAGGAGGAGGAGGAGGAGGAGGAGGGAGGAGGAGGAAGAGGAGGAGGAGGAGGAGAGGAGGAAGAGGAGGAGGAGAGGGTGAGGGGGAGGGGGGGGAGGAGGGGGAGGAGGAGGAGGAGGAGGAGGAGGAGGAGGAGGAGGAGGATCAGGAGGAGGAGGAGGAGGGAGGAGGAGGAGGAGGAGGAGGGGAGGGGGAGGATGAGGATGAGGATGAGGATGATGATGATGATGATGAGAGGAGGAGGAGGAGGAGGAGGAGGAGAGAGGATAATGAAGAGGAGGAGGAGGAGGAGGAGGAGGAGGAGGAGGAGGAGGAGGAGGAGAGGAGAAAGAGGAGGAGGAAGAGGATGATGTGGAGGAGGAAAGGAGGAGGAGGAGGAGGAGGAGGAGGAATCAGGAGGAGGAGGAGGAGGAGAGGAGGAGGAGGAGGAGGAGGAGGAGGAGGAGAGGAGGAGGAGGAGGATGAGGAGGAGGAGGAGGAGGAGGAGGAGGAGGAGGATGACGAATAGGAGGAACAGGAGGAGGAGGAACATGACGAAGAGGAGGAGGAGGATAGAAATGAAGAGGAGGAGGAGGAAGAGGAGGAGGAGGACGAGAAAAACCAGGAGCAGGAGCAGGATGAGGAGGATGATGATGCTGCTGCTACTGCTGATGATGCTGCTGCTGATGATGATGATGATGATGATGATGAGGAGGAGGAGGAGGAGGAGGAGAAGGAGGGGAACGACGACGGGCAGGGGAACAGAGGAAGACGAGGAGGAGGACGAGGGACGAGGAGGAGGAAGAGGAGGAGGAAAAGGAGGAGGAATAGGAGAAGCAGGAGCAGGAGCAGGAGCAGGAGGAGGAGAGGAGGAGGAGGAGGAGGAGGAGGAGGGTGGAGGAGGAGGAGAAAGAGGAGGAGGAGGAGGAAGAAGAAGAGGAACAAGAGGAAGAAGAGGAATAGGACGAGGAGGAGGAGGAGGAGGAGGAGGAGGAGGAGGAGGGTGAGGAGGATAACGAAGAGGAGCAATAGGAAAAAACGACAAGGGGGAAGAGGAGGAGGAGGAAGAGGAGGGGAAGTGGAAAATCCGCCGGCCCCCTTGTGGGGCCACCAAGCTGTAGGCGCGGGTTCGCAGTTTCCTGTACCAGTTGTAGCTTGTAGTCCCACCAGCCCTTTGGGCGTGAGTGGTTTAGAGAGCTCTCTCTGTTCTCAACCCCCCTTCTTCCCCTTCGGGGAGGGGTTTACCCCTCCCCCTACCCCCTCCCCCTGGGCCTGTAGAGGGCGCCTCGCGGGTGGTCAGAGGGGTCTTTTTCGACTCCTGGGATGGCTAAAAAACGACACCCCTCACGAGGATTCTGGCCCCGACGGGGGGAGGGAGAAAAAATGCTCCTCTCTTCTTTGAAGCCAAAATCATTGATTTTACTACGGTGTTGGCCCCATTTGGGCCTTCTGAGGGGGCAGCGCTAATTAAAGCTCCCCTCTTCTTTCAAGCCAAAATCATTGATTTTACTAATGTTTTGGCCCCATTTTGGCCTTCTGAGGGGGCAGCGCTAATTAAAGCTCCCCTCTTCTTTGATCGATTTCCTCCAAGATGGCCCTGAGAAGCGCCCAGGAGGCACCAAGAGGCCCCAAGATGGCCCCAATAGGCCCCCAGGAGGCCCCCAAGAGGATCCCAAACGGCCCAAAGAGGCCCCCCCGAGGCACCCAAGACGCCGAAAAGCCCATCAGGACGACCCTCTACTCGCCTGGGCGTCGTTTCTGGACGGGCAGGAGGAGGGGCCCGAACGACTCACACCAGGACGAGGGGCCCGAACAACTCACACCACGAGAAGCCCGAACGACTCACACCAGGACGAAGAGCCCGAACGACTCACACCACGAAGAGCCCGAACGACTCACACCAGGAAGAAGGGCCCGAACGACTCACACCAGGACGAGAAGCCCAAACGACTCAAACCACGAGGAGCGCTTTCTCTCCCTCCTCCTCCGCCTCGTCCTTCTCCCGCTCCCACCACAAGGAGGATGTACAAGGAGGCGGGAGGAAGGAGGAACAGGGGAGATATGCGGGGGCAGGCGGAAGCACGCCTGAAAAACACGACTGTCGGCATGCTTCGCTAGAGTTGCTGTTTTGAGATGGGCTGGTGGGGATACGCGAAGCGTGAAGAATTTGCAGTGTTACAGTTCTGCTTCTTGCTGGTTACTGTAACTAGTTGATTGACCGCGCGAGGGGGGGGGAGGCCCAAAGCAAGATTTTTAGCGTCTCCTGGGCGCGTTGTCTGAATTGCTGGGGGGGCTCGAAATCGACACCCCTCACGCAGACAGGGCAGTCTGAAATTCGGTGGTCAGGGTCCAAAAACACATGGGATTTGCCACATTTCTGAAATTCGGTGCCACCCCTCACGCAGATCCGCGGGGTCAGGGTCCAAAAACACATGGGATTTGCCACATTTCTGAAATTCGGTGCCACCCCTCACGCAGATCCGCGGGGTCAGGGTCCAAAAACACAGGGATTTGCCACATTTCTGAAATTCGGTGCCACCCCTCACGCAGATCCGCGGGGTCAGGGTCCAAAAACACACGGGATTTGCCACATTTCTGAAATTCGGTGCCACCCCTCACGCAGATCCGCGGGGTCAGGGTCCAAAAACACATGGGATTTGCCACATTTCTGAAATTCGGCGCCATCCCTTATGCAGATCGGCGGGGTCAGGGTCCAGAAACACAGGGGATTTGGCACATTTCTGAAATTCGGTGCCACCCTTCACGCACATCCATCGCAAGGCGTGGTAACCCAAACTGCGAGAACTCCCTCGGCCCTTTAATCGCAAGGTGTGGTAACCAAGCCCGTAAACCATACACGTCTTACCAATCGCCAGGTGTGGTAACCCCTCTTGTGATCAGTTGGTTTTGCTGATTGCGAATCGGCTTCGCATGAAGTTTCGATACTGCTTCACGACAGCGCCAAGGCCTCATGACTTAGCTCTTCCATGGCCCATTCTCCGAGAGAGGGGGCCGGCGGCAAGGGGCGAAGCCCTTACGGATAAGAGGAGATGAGGTTGAGGAGGAGGACGAAGAGGAGAAGGAGGAGGAGGAAGAGGAGGAGGAGGAAGAGGAGGAGGAGGAGGAAGAGGAGGAGGAGGAGGTGGAGGAGGAGGACGACGACGAATAGGAGGATTCCACTGATTCCGCCATCGCGTAGTCATACGCATAATACCACCCCGTGAAATTGAAGAGCACCGCGGCTACGAGGGACAGGGTGCCCGCCCGTGGAGCCAGCCAAGGAAGCCTGTGGAGCACGAGAAAGCGTGATACCGCCAAATGAACCCCTCCGAACCAAACCACCAAGAGCGGATCAGGCAACGCGCACCTTGGTGCGCCGCGCGCAACAGGCACCCCGGCGCGTCGCGCGTTCAGACAGTTCCGAAGCGGCGGGCGCCTTGCCCTCAGATAGCGACGCGCCCCTCGGCGCGCCGCCCCGATGAGCCACCCGAAGGGCGCCACTCCCTCGGGCGACCGCGCGCCCTCATACGCACCGGGGCAGGGGGTCTGGCCGTGGGAACGACGGGTGTGGATCCACCATGAGTTCCCCGGAGGGGGCCCCCCACCCGCCCAGGCGCACGGGGTGCACGTGCTGGGCCACCGCAGTGGGTGGGAAAACGTGGCGATGGGGCGCAATTTCCCTCCCCCCTGGGCCCTGCGAGCAAACATGGGCGTCGACCGGGCTGCGACCCGCCTGTTTTTCTGGGAAGGGCACCCAGTGGCACAGTTGCCAGGAGGAGGAGGAGGAGGAGGAGGAGGAGGAGGAGGAGGAGGAGGAGGAGGAGGAGGAGGAGGAGGAGGAGGAGGAGGAGGAGGAGGAGGAGGAGGAGGAGGAGGAGGAGGAGGAGGAGGACGAGGAGAAAAGGAGGAGGAGGAGGAGGAGGGCGGAGGCGGAGGAGAAGGAGGAGGACGAGGGAGGAGGAGGAGGTGGAGAAAATAGCGGCGGGAAAGGTGAAGACAAAGAGAAGGCGGAAAGCAAAAAAAACTCCGGAACCGAACGGAAACGCCAAAACCGAACCCGGACGAACCGAACCGGCGCGAACAAAACCAAATTCAACACGAACCGAACGGAACCGGTCGTCTTCGATGCTCGAACCGAACAGAACCGTCAAATAGTTTGATGCGGAACCAGACCGAAAGGGAAACGGAAATGGACCGAACCTGAACGAACGAACCGCCACGTCAACTCGACGAGTCGTGGACGAGGCCTCCGGGAATCGCAATAGCGGCTGGACCCCCCGTGACCCCTCGGTCGCGGGGCCCCTGAGACCCCTATGACCCACCTCCGTGACCCTCTCCCCCCCGTGACCTCAGTAAGTTTAAAACTGGTTGGGAGGCCCAGCCAAATGCTTCGCCTAAGGCGAAGCATGCGTCCAACACTGTTGTACCGTATTAGCGATAGCGCCAGAAGTA